TGATCAACCGGGTGTAGTGGAGGGTGTCCCTGCCCATGGCAGGGGGGTTGGAACTGGATGATCTTGAAGGTCCCTTCCAGCCCAAACCGTTCTGTGATTCTACGATAACGCACTGGCCGTGCAAAAACCTGGAGGTGAAGCATCATCCCCCAAGGAAAACCAGGCACAGCATCACAGGGAGGTCCTGTCCCTCCAAAATTGGCTTCAATTAGCAAAGTACCCAATTAGGCAGAAGCTGGCTCTGATTTCACAGAAAATGGGAGGAAATCAGGGAGAGCTCAGCTTTGAGGGAGGGTCCATAAGAGGGGCAGCAAGAGGAGGATGCTGGTGGCATTTCAGCCTTGGGAAGAGCCCTGAGGAGGGACTGAGAGCGAGACGGTGGGTTTCCCATGGGTTTAGCCTTAAATTGAACGATTTTTAAGGCCACATCCCCTCCTTTGAGAGCAACACATGGCAAAAGACTTGAGTTATTGAGCTGGCACTTGCCCAGGAGGGCAAAAATCGTCCAGAGTGGGGGAGAATCTCCTGCCTGGACCACGCTGCAGAAGTTGCTTTGATCCAGCCAAGGAGGCACTTGCAGGGGACCGGCTCAGATTCGGAAGGGGGAAGAACAAAGAGACGATTTTAGAAAGCTGCCCATGACGGGAACTATTTTAATACCACTGAGTCACGATTTTTAGTACAAACGATCAGCAAAAAAAAATGCATTTAAAAATCCCAACCGGTCCCATTCCCACAGCCATGCACCCCATAGAAAAGTTAATGCCATTTTGTATTAAAAGACTAAAAACATTCTTCTCCACAACGCTGTGCTTTCGATATAAAACCGCCTTTTTTGATTTGATTTGATTTTTTTTTTTTTAAAAAAAGCACGAGTTTCCTTGTCAGTCCTCACTGCCGTAGCTTTTGGCGTGTGTTTTTGGAGCGAAACCCCGTAAGTTGGGTTCAGCCCACCAAGCACCTGATGGGTGAAGACAGACTATAAGCACTGCTCTCCCCTGATGGGTGAAGAAGGCATTTTTACAGGGGGTCTGCAATTTAAAAGAGAAAGAGGGATGTTAGTCCCGCATGCAAGAGAGAAATCGCCCCCCACCCCGGGCTGAAATCGCATCGTTTCCCCTCCAGCACAGACTGGGGCCCAAAGCAGCACAAGGGCATAAAATAAAATGGAGTAAAATGAAATAAGATACAGTAAAATAAAACAAAATAGTGTAAAATGAAATAAAGTCAAGCAAAATGAAACAAAAGTCGAGCAAAATGAAATAAAAGTTGAGTGAAACGAAATAAAGTCGAGCAAAATGAAATAAAAGTTGAGCAAAATGAAATAAAGTCAAGCAAAATGAAATAAAAGTTGAGCAAAATGAAATAAAGGTCGAGCAAAATGAAATAAAAGTTGAGCAAAATAAAAGTCGAACAAAATGAAATACAAGTCAAGCAAAATAAAGTCGAGCAAAATGAAATAAAAGTCAAGCAAAATAAAAGCCGAGCAAAATAAAATAAAGTCCAGTAAAGTAAAATAAAAGTAGAGCAAAATAAAATAAAGTTGAGCAAAATAAAATAAAAGTCGAGCAAAATGAAATAAAGCTGAGCAAAATGAAATAAAGTCGAGCAAAATGAAATGAAAAAATCAGCAGGTGCAGCTAATTGGGATTAAAAAGAATAATAATAAAAAATATATAATCAAGCTCTTTGGATGGTTTCCACATTTTTTCCCTGCAGGTTAGCTGGCACAGCACATGCAGCATGGACGGACGGACGGACGGACGGAGGCACAGGGAGTTTGGGGGATTTCTGGGCGGAATCGGCAGAGGCGATGAGCACGGCGGCGCTCCAAGACTTCACCGCCCGCTCCAGGGGATCCTGCCAGGGGAAGAGGGATTTGGACCCAGCGGGGAGGCATCAAAGTTCCTGGGTCTGTCCACCTGCTGCCTGAAATAGCTGCGTCGGGCACCGAAAATAAAAACAAACCACCGCTTTGTGGTGCCAGCCCCCTTTTTGGCTGCTTTCATTTCCCCAGCGCCGTTTATTCTGCTGCTTAATAAGGCCACAGGGTTGTTCCCGGTGGGAAATAAGCCCAGGGCTGATTTTAAGCTGGCAAAGCTCAGCTGGAGCACCAGCAACGGGCTCCGATCAAAAATTAACAATAATTTTAAAAATGTTGCTTTCGGGTAGCGACGAGGAGGGGAACGCTCGCACCCCGAAAGCGTCCCTCTGCCAACAGCGGGGTGTGGGGATGCTCCAGCCCCGGGCTGGGCTGGGTCCGACGGAGGTGGGCAGCAGCTTCATCCCGGGAATGCCAAGCGCTGGCTTCGCTTCCCGAAAACAGGGCTGCAGGGTGGCGGGAGGGGTGGTGGTCACAGCACAAAGTGCCTCTGTGCAGCACACCCCCGCGGGATCCGCATCGCTCCGGAGCATCCGCGTGACAGACGGACGCGGTGCGGCCACCCACGGTCCCGGCCACCCTGGGGGGGCCAACCTGCCCGGCTGGGAAGAGCCTGGCAATGACAGACAGAGGTTACGACCCCCCCAAAAAAAAAAAACCCTACAACATTTTAGAGGATGGCGCTGCAAACGGCGCTGAAACCTGGAGGATGAGGAGGAGAAGAAAGGTCTCGTTGGGCATCCAGGGACCAGGCGGGGTGGGAGCAGCGGGGTCTCGCCCGGTTTTGGGAGGGGAGGGAGGCGCTGGGCGGCAGCAGGGC